CCCCGGTCACTCATGTCCTTTTGCTTGAATTACTTGCAATAGCCGGGTAGGTGTGTAGACAAATAATGTCACCTGCCTAAAGATAGGCCCCCGTACGACAAATAATGCACACGATAACACGCATCGCTAGGTCTCATGTTTTCATGTGTTTCATATGAAGGGCAGCGATGCATTAATTTTTACAGAAATAGATGTGCTGGTAAAGTATCACCCCATGGAAAGACACGGTCAATGAATGCTTTCTGGGACACAAATATTTGTATTTTTTTAAAATATTGACAAAACTTCTCCGATGCAATGAGTCTGATACGGTTGCATATATAGGAAGCATGTTCGACTACAAATGCAAGGCGGAACAATTGTAGGACCCGTTAACGCAAAACTAGACGCGACGTGCATGTATAAAAAGATATCAATGAATTTGTAATTTTCGTATAGCAAAACGTAAAAGATATCATAGATATTGGTCCGTTTTTTGAAGATCCTAGTTTCCTAACAATACGCCTAAGGCTTAGTTTGTCGGCAGATAAATGTGATCACATTCTTGGCCGATTGAGGCAATGTTTGAAAGCAACCAAGTAAGAGGCGTGCGTGCGTGAGAAAACTGATTAAGAAGTGTGCTAATGAACAATACCAATCATGAAAGGACAGCCTCTCACCCCTAATGAGGCTAGGGTCACTCGCATCAGTGTTTGTGTCTTGCTGGGAAGGAGTAGCGGCCTCCTACTGCTGTGAGTAAACACACATTGTCTTCTAACATGCGGCTTAGTTGACTCCTTGCTGCGAAGGGGTAGCGGCCTCCTACTGCTGTGCGTAATCATACATTGTCTTCTAACATGCGGCTACACGATGGTTGCATTGTATTAATAAAGTAATACCTATTCATAAGGAAGGGGGCGGATGGTAATCTTACGAGAATTAAATCAGTTATCGATCATACGCGTACCAGTTGTCGTGTTTTTTTTTAGCCATAGTGTATATGCTGTTAAACAATAAGATACCAGCTACTTTGCATTTGGAAAGTGAAGTTTAGTGATCGACACTATTGCGTAACGCCTATGGAAATGGGTCAGCCAGGTACAAAACATACCAAATGTATACCCATCAGGACAGTTTCCCCTGTGAACATTTATACATCATTTCAGGGTTGCAATAAAGACCAATGACTAAAAGACTGATATCTATGATCTAGAAAAAGACTTTACATTTAGGAATAATTGGACAGCAGCTGATTTATCTAAATTGTGTGATTACGTGCTATTGATACTTACTTTTACAGACCACTCTTATCTCCTGAGCTTCAGATCTTTAAGTATGTTGTACCAGTAGTACTAAATAACAGAGTAAAATGGTAAATACTAGTACCTGTAGCAGGCCGCCTGTAGCAGTAATGCTTGGCTTAGAATGACTGTAGACAACTGGCAGGGAGTCAGTGGGTTAACAGGTATTTGGAATATGGGATTTTAATCGATTCTTACCTCTAAATCGCACAGGTTTCCGTCTTGCTCTTGGCATCAGAGAAGTTTCATTATGCCGACGGAGTGTTTTGAAACATTCACTTGTACTACCTACACCAAGCACTTGCTACCATGTCGCGTGCTACCGCCACCTGGTATTGATTTTGTGGGGAGCGAAAGGGAATGTGGTTGTCAAGATAATGATGTAACATATTTGTGCTACAACAGAACATATTTGTTTTGTTTTTGATAATTGATAATAAAAGTTATACAACATAAAATAGTACTGATAGACTACCACTGCTTTATACAAAGATAGAGGTACACTTTTCTTTATTCTTAGACGCTACTCTCCTTACGGTTTTTTAAATTCCCAGAACATTGAAAATGGCGGCGCGAGACGATAATATGGCACATGCATCTAGTCCTTCTGTGCCAATCTGCACAGAGCAGAGCAGCAATAGCACCGCACCACATAGGTATGTTGACAGATACAGCTTATGGGCTACTTATGCACAATGTTGTTTGCGATTTTTCTGTTAAGTTTTCGTTGTTGTCAAAAATAAATATTATAAACAAATGCCCGAAATGACCNTATCAATGAATTTGTAATTTTCGTATAGCAAAACGTAAAAGATATCATAGATATTGGTCCGTTTTTTGAAGATCCTAGTTTCCTAACAATACGCCTAAGGCTTAGTTTGTCGGCAGATAAATGTGATCACATTCTTGGCCGATTGAGGCAATGTTTGAAAGCAACCAAGTAAGAGGCGTGCGTGCGTGAGAAAACTGATTAAGAAGTGTGCTAATGAACAATACCAATCATGAAAGGACAGCCTCTCACCCCTAATGAGGCTAGGGTCACTCGCATCAGTGTTTGTGTCTTGCTGGGAAGGAGTAGCGGCCTCCTACTGCTGTGAGTAAACACACATTGTCTTCTAACATGCGGCTTAGTTGACTCCTTGCTGCGAAGGGGTAGCGGCCTCCTACTGCTGTGCGTAATCATACATTGTCTTCTAACATGCGGCTACACGATGGTTGCATTGTATTAATAAAGTAATACCTATTCATAAGGAAGGGGGCGGATGGTAATCTTACGAGAATTAAATCAGTTATCGATCATACGCGTACCAGTTGTCGTGTTTTTTTTTAGCCATAGTGTATATGCTGTTAAACAATAAGATACCAGCTACTTTGCATTTGGAAAGTGAAGTTTAGTGATCGACACTATTGCGTAACGCCTATGGAAATGGGTCAGCCAGGTACAAAACATACCAAATGTATACCCATCAGGACAGTTTCCCCTGTGAACATTTATACATCATTTCAGGGTTGCAATAAAGACCAATGACTAAAAGACTGATATCTATGATCTAGAAAAAGACTTTACATTTAGGAATAATTGGACAGCAGCTGATTTATCTAAATTGTGTGATTACGTGCTATTGATACTTACTTTTACAGACCACTCTTATCTCCTGAGCTTCAGATCTTTAAGTATGTTGTACCAGTAGTACTAAATAACAGAGTAAAATGGTAAATACTAGTACCTGTAGCAGGCCGCCTGTAGCAGTAATGCTTGGCTTAGAATGACTGTAGACAACTGGCAGGGAGTCAGTGGGTTAACAGGTATTTGGAATATGGGATTTTAATCGATTCTTACCTCTAAATCGCACAGGTTTCCGTCTTGCTCTTGGCATCAGAGAAGTTTCATTATGCCGACGGAGTGTTTTGAAACATTCACTTGTACTACCTACACCAAGCACTTGCTACCATGTCGCGTGCTACCGCCACCTGGTATTGATTTTGTGGGGAGCGAAAGGGAATGTGGTTGTCAAGATAATGATGTAACATATTTGTGCTACAACAGAACATATTTGTTTTGTTTTTGATAATTGATAATAAAAGTTATACAACATAAAATAGTACTGATAGACTACCACTGCTTTATACAAAGATAGAGGTACACTTTTCTTTATTCTTAGACGCTACTCTCCTTACGGTTTTTTAAATTCCCAGAACATTGAAAATGGCGGCGCGAGACGATAATATGGCACATGCATCTAGTCCTTCTGTGCCAATCTGCACAGAGCAGAGCAGCAATAGCACCGCACCACATAGGTATGTTGACAGATACAGCTTATGGGCTACTTATGCACAATGTTGTTTGCGATTTTTCTGTTAAGTTTTCGTTGTTGTCAAAAATAAATATTATAAACAAATGCCCGAAATGACCTGCTATCGCAGTTCTGTCAAACTGGGAATGACAGAATTTTTGCGGTAATTAACCATTGTTAATAGTCGAACATCTTGACACTTTTTTGTTTTATAACTTATCTTTTCCTTTAAAATATGGCTGCTTTTTCTTTGGTTGTCAGACTTTAGATCACAGTCTTTCAGTCACATAGATGGAAATTAAGTACTGTATTTGATGCATTTGAAAATAGTTTAAAAAAGTACAAGTATTGTGACTTGCATTTGGATAGAAAGGTAAAGAAACTCTGCTATTTGTTTTTTAGTATTCAATCTTGTGCTTGAGTTTATTCCAATATTAAGTGCACATGCACAGGTCATACTCTAATATAGGTTAGACAATCCTTGGGGAAGTTTTAATTACAAGATTTGGAACTGTGCCTGCATGTGTACATACTATACGATTGCACATCCCCCAGATGCTAGTTAATTGCTGTTGCTCAAACAGTGAACTTAATGTGTCTAAACCATTAGTCCAATAGTATCAGAAATGACACTGACACTTTGTCATACTTGAATTCACCAATCAAAAGTTTGATTCATATGACTACTTTGGCACAACTGAGAATTGTATATATGGGAACAGATATACAGGGTAGCTAGAATATGGTTATATGGACTTGTAGGCCTCATGCAGTCAGAAAAGATGCAGAGTGATTATGTCAGAATATAGATCAACCATTTAGCATCTTACATTTGGAGGAATCATTGTATAAATATAAGTATATAGTAGTGTGATTTGCTAATACTGATTATCAAGTGGACACATTGTTTACTGAAACAATCATCAGTTTACTGTATACTTAGTAAATATAGTAGCCACAGGATTGAGTGAACTATGCAATTTTACATTTGAAGCACAGAGATAGGAAAACCTATAACACAATTATTTCCAGGGTGATTCTGCAAAGACCCAGCAGTGCAGGTTCTCGCCCAGCAAGTGTGAGCAGTAGCCTAAGCTCTAGTTCAACCAGGGGTCCTCGACCAAACCAGGAAATATGTGTGGGAGAAGAGCTGAGGATTGCAGTGGATATAGCACTGGAGAAATTCAGACTAAATCCAGAACAGAAAGGTAATAAAGACATCAATGTGACCAAAAACACAAAATCTGATATACTTGAAATTTTTAGTTCATTATTGGATGCAGATTAAGCTCTTGTTATTGCAAGTGCATTTCTTCTCTGATGAGCAATGTGACCTAATCTTATTTATTATTGATTAATGTTTGCCATTACATACATAAATTGGCAGTTAACAATAATATTTTACTGGGCCTTGGATTGATCCCTGCTTTCATTCATAATTGTGTGTGGGTTTGCATGCATGTATGCATGTAGGTTAAGGTATAATTACGTTTGTATATTGTAACAGATAACCTGTATACATTGCTATTGTTCTTTTGTTTTTTTTTTCTCCAGAACTGGAATTTCCTTCTTCTTTCACTGCAACAGAAAGAGCATATGTTCATAGGCTGACAGATGACATGGGACTGAAGTCAAAAAGTAGAGGGTAATTTAATTTATGAATTTCGGGGAAGTAGAGGTTTTCAGTATTTTCAAGTTGTCAATAATATAACACTGAGCAAAAATATAAACACCCTACACAATACTTTGAAATATTTATCAGCAATAAGGGTTATACATATTAAATAATACAAAGTGAATTTGTTGTTCAGTGTGCTACAGATTACTGTCCGTAGCCCATTACAGTCACATAAATAATTTACATATGGCATTTATGTTTATCTTGTATTTATGTTGATTAAATTAGTAAGTTTGATACAATGGATAATTTAATTCAGTTATAAATGTTTTTGTCTGAAATATAATTGACCTTGTCATTGGCACAGACTATATAAAAATAAAGTAAAGCTTTAAATAATGATAACATATTATGTGTTTAAGTATGATAATTTTATCATCAAAGATTCTTTTTAATTTTTCAGAAAAGGATCTAATAGATTTTTAACCGTCTTCAAAAAAGAGGACAAGAAAGCAGCCAATTCCTCTGCCAGATTTCAGCTGACTCACAACTCAAGGCAGCAGATTCACAATCTTATCCAGCGTTTTCCTCTTACCAGCAAGGAAAGGCATGAACTGCTGCCCAGAACTGAGAGGATCACTTCAACTGAAGGTGACTTAGACTTTGTTTTACCTCATATTTCTTTGAATTAGATTGCAGGCAAGATTGAAGAATTAAGATATCTTTAAATGAAAGGCCAAGTCACTAAGCAATCAACCTCTTAAAAGCTTCTTTTAATCTCCTACAGTAGACGGTTTTTAATTTGTTAAGAACTTACTGAGAGGTTTTTTACCTATGGCATACCCCCCCTTGCACATACTGTCTATCCATTTGTCTATCTTTGGAGTAAATCTTATCCAGCCTTCTACTATAGTTTTCCAATGACAAATTGTGTTTGTTATTAATCTGTGATAAAAATTGACCTCATATCTATTTCCATTGGCCCCCAATAATGGGTATCTGCAGATGTTTACCACATCTCTGATAATTTCATTTTTAGTTCAAATAAAACCTTTTAACATATTGCTTATTTACAATCCCTAGGGATGAGAGAACTGGGCAAGACAACCACTGGAAGATTAAACAACGGGGTATCTCAAGTGCCTCCCAAAAGAGGAACATCAGACCTGAATGCATTTAGAGAGACACTGCCTGTCTATCAGATGAGGGAACAAATTGTTAATGCCATAAATAGTCACCAGGTGGTGTTAATATCAGGAGAGACAGGCTCTGGAAAAACAACACAGGTAGATTTGGGGACTGTACTGTAGCTCTGCCTGTTTAAATTTTATTTTTCTACTTCAAAGAAAACAAGAAATGTTTTTATTTATGGGAGAAGATTGATTATCATATGGTATGAGATAAATTCTGTATAATTTTCCTATGGTCTAGGTTCCCCAGATGATTCTGGATGACTGTCACCAAAGAAACAAACCTTGTAGAATGTTCTGCACACAACCTCGCAGGATCTCAGCACTGTCAGTAGCAGAGCGTGTATCTACAGAGAGAGGTGAAAAGATTGGACAGACTGTAGGATATCAAATTAGACTTGAAAGCAGGTAGATCTAGCCATTTGTATCTATTCTTTACTGTTCTTTTTTTTTTAAAGCAATATGGTATTAGACTAAGTGATTGTTTTGTGCATAAACTTTGACTCATTTTATGTAGTTATTTATGACAATTTGGGAAAAACATTTGAATAATTGCTGTGATTGCTGACTCAAGTTGATGTAGTAAGTCTAGAAACTAAAATTTAAGATAAATGTATCATATTTGTGTCTGTTTTGTATTATTTACAAATAATGATTTTCTTTATGTTCAGGGTTTCACCTAAAACATTACTGACATTCTGTACCAATGGGGTGTTGCTCAGAACACTAATGGGTGGTGAGGCATCCATGAATGCTGTCACACACATTATTGTTGTAAGTGTACCTGGCCTGAACAGCTTCTCTGAGCATGCTACATTTTGACAAATTAGTGATAAACTAGGATATATTAGCATTTTTACCACAGCAGAGACATTTTAACTTGTAAATATCTTAAAGGGATAACAACTCCTTGTATTAGATCCATATTTCACAATAAATACAGTGTAAACAACTGTCAGAAATTTAATACATTCTTTTTTACCACCAGAACCATGGTTTTTGCAATTATTCTGAAATTTGTGACCACATGACTGCCGTAGATGGTTACCCTCTGTAAAAACCTCTTAAGAGATTATTAAAAAAAACCAAACATTTTAGAAAAAAAAAGAACGGGGACTCGCTTTGAAGATTGGAACCGATTCATTCAACATTGGCAAGCATAGGATAATTGTTGTTTACTCCAGGAAAATCCTTTTTTTTTTTTTTGCCAAAATGAACAGTTCTTATCCCTCAAACATTTTCCTATGTAAGTGAGAACTGTTATATGTATCAAATATGATATGGTTTTTGTACTCAAAATGCAATTGAAATAAATGCATGTGTATGGATGTTATTTTTTTCTAAATTGTTATATATATCTAATTAATTTATTATGTTTACCTCTAGGATGAAACTCATGAACGAGACAGATTTAGTGACTTCCTGTTGATTTCACTAAGAGATCTGCTGGCCAAGTACAAGAACTTGAAGGTTATTTTGATGAGTGCTGCTCTCAATACACAGCTCTTTATCAATTACTTTGGTGGATGTCCCATAATTGAAGGTACTGAATTTAAGTCAGAAGGACATTGAGTTTATATTATAAAAGTCTTTTGTGTTGGGCTTAGTTACATAAAAAAATTCAAAGTTGAAAAAACAATAGATGGAATTGTTTGGAATTTGAACATTGTATTTGGGCTGTGTTATTCGATTTCTATCTAAACTGTTACATTTTTTTATTTCAGTACCTGGAAAGCTATTTGAAGTGAAGGAGTATTTTCTGGAAGATGTTCTCAAGATGTATGTAACAATATCACCTAGAAAATGAATTTGTTACATTTAATACTCATTGGAAGTTAATTGGAAATATTTTATCTCATTTATGGGGTTAATGATCAATTGTTTATCTTCAAGAAAGTGAATAACAGTTTTTATGTACAGACACAGATGTGTCTGTACATATAGCTATCATCTGCGTCTGTCGTTGCCGTCGTCGCCGTCGTCGTCGCCGTCGTCGCCGTGCACTTTTACCGATAACACGATAAGTGGAAAACCATTTTACCTTTTGACTTGAAACTTACAGGACTGATGAATATTCATAATACGCAGGTCAAGTTCGNTTCATTCAACATTGGCAAGCATAGGAAAATTGTTGTTTACTCCAGGAAAATCCATTTTTTTTTTTGCCAAAATGAACAGTTCTTATCCCTCAAACATTTTCCTATGTAAGTGAGAACTGTTATATGTATCAAATATGATATGATTTTTGTACTCAAAATGCAATTGAAATAAATGCATGTGTATGGATGTTATTTTTTTCTAAATTGTTATATATATCTAATTAATTTATTATGTTTACCTCTAGGATGAAACTCATGAACGAGACAGATTTAGTGACTTCCTGTTGATTTCACTAAGAGATCTGCTGGCCAAGTACAAGAACTTGAAGGTTATTTTGATGAGTGCTGCTCTCAATACACAGCTCTTTATCAATTACTTTGGTGGATGTCCCATAATTGAAGGTACTGAATTTAAGTCAGAAGGACATTGAGTTTATATTATAAAAGTGTTTTGTGTTGGGCTTAGTTACATAAAAAAATTCAAAGTTGAAAAAACAATAGATGGAATTGTTTGGAATTTGAACATTGTATTTGGGCTGTGTTATTCGATTTCTATCTAAACTGTTACATTTTTTTATTTCAGTACCTGGAAAGCTATTTGAAGTGAAGGAGTATTTTCTGGAAGATGTTCTCAAGATGTATGTAACAATATCACCTAGAAAATGAATTTGTTACATTTAATACTCATTGGAAATTAATTGGAAATATTTTATCTCATTTATGGGGTTAATGATCAATTGTTTATCTTCAAGAAAGTGAATAACAGTTTTTAAATGAACCCATTGGAAAGTGACAATATATTTACCGGAAGTATTTGTATAAGTAGGTGCTGGTAAAGCTTTCTTGTGATAATTTCAAAAAGATGTTACATATTTTTGCAACTTTTTTCTGCTAATTCACTGTTCCAGGACTGGGTATACAAACAAGAAAATGATCAAGTACAAGAGTGAATTAGAAAAAGTTGCTGAGCAGCAGCGCCATCTAGACCAGTGGTGTAACCAGCAACCAAGTGCTGAAAGAGCAGAACCTGAAGAGTCTGTACTGGAGGACAGTGGAGTGATAGAAGACAGAGATGATGGTATAGAGGTAGACAAGGTTAGTGTGAGGAAGTAACTAATATGAGACAAGTAGCATGCATACAGTCCTGGTACAAGTTGCTGAGAGAAGTTTCTGTCTTGTAAAAACAATAAACTTTAGAATTAAAAATGGCATCAAATGAAAAAGTTTCAAAACAAAACATACCAAATAAAAAATCCAATCCATTTCGAAAGAAAATTTTTGTAATTAATCCATACTAAACTTTTTGGATGCCTCAGTTTTCTTTCATCTTTCCTATTTTTAAAACAAAAATATATTTTGATGAATTAGTATTTAAATAAAAATAAATTCTTTTATATGTTATAAAACAGCTTGGTCCAGAGAAAGAAGAACTAGAGCCATGGCTGGTGACTGAGATGGACAAACTGCTAACTGAGGCCTGGCTGACAGGAGAAGAGGACATCTTCACACAGATCTTCCATCTCATTATGAGTGAGGATGTCACTGGTAAGATATTGGCTTCAAAAGTACAGGTAAACTAGGGCTACATTAAAATTTGACCAATGTGAATTTTTAACTTGGATGCGTCATTTTAGATAATTTGCAGAAGTGCATATTTATATGGGTGTTTTGTAAAATTGCTATGAAAGTGCAGGTATTGCTGTAATCATAAAACAAAGTAAACAGCCTTTTATCCAAATACTGGAATACTGAAAATTCTGATATATTTTCATAGATTTATAAATATTCTTATCAAAGTAGTAAAAGTTTCCTCATTGTATGTCACTGTCATTCTGTCTTCCTCAGTGGACTACATGCACTCTGAGACCAGTGCCACCCCACTGATGATAGCTGCGGCCAGGGGCTTCACTTCAGTTGTGGAACAACTCCTGAATCTTGGGGCCAACATTAAGATCAAGGCCTCAAATGGATGGAATGCTCTGAACTGGGCTGAAAAGTTTGAGAGGACAGATGTCATTGAGATTTTGAAAGCCTACATGTGAGCATGGACTTTGTGTGACTTAAGGGATATTTTGATTAATTTGATACATAATAATTATTTATAATTTTTTTTCTTTTTAATTTTCCTTTACTTACTAGCACTAACTATATTGACCCCAAATCTCCAAAAATCTTGTTAATTAAATTTTTGATTAATTTGACTTTATTCAGCTTAGCTTTCATTATATGCATTCCTTGTATTTGTATGTTTATTGTAAATAGAATTTTAGAGCTGACAGAATAGATCTCGTTAGTTGAGAACTAAAACTTACACCTATTCCTCACTCAGGACAACAAGTGAGGAGGGTGAGGAAGGAGATGACGAGGATCTTCTCAAGGAAACAGAGATGACAGTAAGTGAGGAGGATAAACAGCTGCTGAACCTTTATCACCACAGCTTTGATGATGACAAGGTGGACACAGACCTCATTCTTGCCCTGCTCCATAAGATACAAGACTCCCAGGAGGAAGGTGAGTTCTGCATGCAGACATTTTTCTGGTTGATAGCGGTGAAAGCTGGGTCATTGGTCAATTTTGTATGAAGTTGTTTATGAGTGTGAGCATTGAATGCATTGCAATCATGTCAGAAAATTGCTGGTTTGAAGAATGTGAGGAATAGGGCCAAATTCTTTTAAACTATTATTATTATTATTACTTGTTTTATTATTTTTATTATTAGTATTGTTAATGTATGTATTTTTAAAGCATTTTTTTCTGGTTTGATGTGTTAGTGACAGATTGGATTGTTTTTAATGTTATTATATTGTCGTGTGGCATTATGAAAACATGGACTGTTTCATGAAAATATGAATTTGAGAATTTTTTTGCGTGATTTTCAGGTTGTGACACAATTCAGATATGATTTGGTTTTTGATTGTTAAATGCTTGGTACCGTTAGATCAGATTAAGCTTTTAAAATATTTGCTTTTGTCTTTATTATGTTCACTATATCACAAGTATAATCCATGATATATACAGTGGAAGACTATGTCTCAAAGCTATGGCAAAGGCCCTTTTATCAAAGGAAATTTTCTTAAATGATTATTCCATAAAGGTTTTTATGTTATCAGGATTGGTTTTTCAAACAGTTTGTTTCTATGATATGATATAATGACATTTGTATTTGATAGTTTATAACATGGATTTAAAGCATGCTCTTCTCATGATGACATGGATTTTATAAATACTGAGGTAAATAATAAGAAATTAGATCAATATTTAAGTTTCTTGCTAAAGATTTCTTTTGTAAAATATCATGAAGCATTGTGAATCTAAACCTGCTGCACACAGATAGATTTTAAAAATGGTAAGCTAGCATATACATAGTTCTTTATATCTAATTTAAAGCTTTTGTATACAAAATTTAAATATACTTTTGCAACAACTATATTTATACACACATCTCAAATATTTCAACAAAGAGATATATGATGCTGCAGTGAAGAATTGAATTCCATTTCTAACAAATATTTTATGTACAGGCATGGCATGATATCTTGTAAACAGCTAGAAACAATCTCATTGTTTTGCTTATTGCTGTTTAGTTTGAGCTCCCTCTCATTATAGGATAGAGATTGCAGCTGAAGTTGCTTTGTATGGTTGCCAGTGTTATAATTCCCAAAATGTCTGGATACATTGTATCATGTCTATGACAATAGAATAGCTCATGAGAACAAAGGGGGAATGATAATAAAAAAATACATAGAGTGGGTGTTAACATGTTGACCTGGCAATCCTGGCTTTTGATGATGACATCATGTCAACTTCAAAAGACTGAAATATTGTTTAACATGACATCATACAAAGAACCAAAGATGATAACCATTGTGTGACATGATCACATTTCTCTTAATTGAAATTGTTCCAGCTGGCATTAACTTCAAAAGTTGACCCAAAACTCTTTGACATAAATCAATTGAACATGCTACATCTCTATCATACATAACAGAGTAGAAATATGAGCAACTTAAGCAAAGTGTGATCTCTTTGATTTGGTCCAACTTACTATGATCATACCCAAAGTCAATTGTATACTTTCTATGACTATTGCCATACATTATCTCATTGGTTTTTAAGTCTAGTTCACACACAGTTATTGTACAGGTTTCAGTACCCATCTTATTGGTTTTGTTCTAACTCTATCTCACACACAAAGTTGATGTAAAGGTTTTCACAGTTCCAGTCATCCCAGGTCTGGTTCCCTGAGGCTGTGTAGTAGAGGCAGTTCTGGCGTCCAGTGTGGTCATTGGGCTCATGCGGGGTCCAGTAGGTGTAGGTTAATTTTTGACCTGTCCCAATCCACCTCCAGTCTCCCTCCTTCTCCTTGTCTGTGCCTCCTGTCCAGAACCATGGGCTTGTCCACTTGGCTGAGAATGAAAACAATATAGAATTGTGCAGTGATTGAGAAGAACTATTAAGTGCACAGGTAAAATGAAAGAGAGGTGCTTATATTAAGGTATCACAAGGGTAATACTTAAAATATTATCTTTTGGAAATGTGCAGATACAAAATTGTGTAGTTATACCATTTCCTTCAGGCATGAAAATACTGTTTTTGTTAATGCCATTAAACTTTGTTTAAAACAAGTTAAATGGCATTCATACCTTGATTGTATTTCCTATATGACAAAATAAACTCGTTTTCCTCCTTGGTCTCCACGCCCACCAGGTGGGACTTGGGGTGCAGCCCCTGGCAGTGGGCCTCTGCATTAGGCCAGTTGGCTGTCATGTTCACAAACTTGTAGCAGGACAGGGCATAGCGGAAAAACCCATCTGGACACTCTGGGAGATATAACGAGAATATTGTATTTAAAACAATTGGTCATCGTGACTTGAAGTTTACTAATATTCTTTGCTGTTTTATTCTTGTAAATCAAAGGAGTACTTTTTTGAAAATCTGCAACAAGACCCATTATTAGATTCTATCAAGGGGATGATTCATTGATTTTAGAGGAGGATTATTAGTCATTTGAAAAAAAAATCAGATTTTGTCTTTTCTCGTGTGACAGGAAATGTGAAAAGATAGAAATCTGCCTTCATTTTGTAGAATTATAATTTTATATTGCTGTAGTCTAAACCAAGCTTTTATTTAGCACGAATGTGAGGGAGTCATGTGACATTGATAAAGAATACTAAAGAAAGTTTTTTAGGTGAAAAGAAATACTGATGTGATGTTTGGTCATATTGTAACATAAATTCAGTAAGATCTTTTTATCGATTGAGAAAACTTGCAGGTGGTTGTCATTGTTTAGAGGGTAGTGAACTGATTTGACAGTGAAATAACATCGGTATGTTTGAGGTGTGTGGTCCTTGAATTCTGTTTGTTGAAGTTAACATGGGAAGTGCTTAAATGTCAGAACTAAGAAATACAGAATCTGATTGAGCCTTGACAGAATTGTCACTTGAACTTTATGATTCTGAATGCTCTTTGATTTTAATTAATATGTCTACTGCTGTGCAGAGAACAATGAAATGGAGAAAAGATTTATAATTTTGAACAAAAGATAAATGACGTGATCACAACAGTGGATGGAATTGAATCTGCAAGTACAAAGGTACACAGCAGCTCACGCGAAGACAAAATGTGACGTGTCGTGCAGTAGTTAGATATTAAAGAGATTGCTACACCGTGCACGCATACGTGTAGGAAATCACGTCGCGGTCATACACAAACATTCATTGTACTGCTGTAAGGTTACATGTGTTGTTACAAGTGTTTTGTCTTTGTAGGAGTAGAGTTAGCATGCAGACTGTGTATTAAACGTGTGTGAAGTGTCCTCTGCATTGTACAGGTGTCACACAGGTGCTGTTATGTCTGGAGCATTGCTAGGAGCTAAATTGAAAATTACAAAAAAGATGATATTTAGGTTCACATCCTGTTTCCTGTATAAATATAACAGTGAAAAGAAAAAAAAAAGAAAGAACACATTTACTCTTGAATCCTATAGAACTTTAAGAAATAGATGAAAATAAATAGCCAGGCAGCTGCTTGGGTAGACAGAGAACCAGTTTAACCAAAACTTACTAAGACCTCAGTTTCATGATATTGCTGAAAGGGATGTTAACTGCATGCCAAGAGTGGTATTTAGTTTGATGTGAAATGTTGTCATATTTTCATGATGGAGTTAAAACCTGTAACATAGGCACACCAAGGTGCTCNTAGTTTGATGTGAAATGTTGTCATATTTTCATGATGGAGTTAAAACCTGTAACATATGCACACCAAGGTGCCTGAAATCCTTTCATCTGGCATACCATACCTAGGCTACCTGAACCCTGTCTCTGACCTTACGTAGCATTTATCATTGGTCATGCAACATCACAATTTATTTTGGATAGTAAATGTGTCCTTTTTCTATATTTGTTAACTGGCAGACTGACTGAGTGAAGAAATTGTGATTGATTACATTTTTTAGATCTACCAGATGTGAACAGTTTGGGGACCTGAACCTTTTAAGTTACTCCAAAGCTATGGAGATATTTGGATGTTGCTATAGCTTTTTTACTTGAAGGAATTTGTAATTGAATAATCCCAAGTAATTTTTTATATATTTGTTATAGTACATTGTCTGCTACAATGTGGGCATCACTTTTAAGAGAGTGGAAACATTTTGCAATTAACATAGCTGAAGTGGAAGCATATTTTCGGTATTATGATGAGAAAAAGAAAAAAAATCGATATTAAAGAGAAAGAAAGAAGAACAAAATCAAGGGACTTAATTATCAATGTAGTACAAGGAAGAAAATGAGTATTTTAGCTTGATTTGCTTATGACCAGTACAGTTCAGATAGACGTATGGGTGGTCACTTAGCTCTTTGACCAGAGATTGAGTAAGTGCAAATGTCATCTGGTATGGTGACATTCTAAAAGCAACTGTCTGCCTTGAGTTTGACTTTGCCTGTGCATGTGGTCATGTACTTTTTGTTAAGCGAAATAAAGAGTAGAATTTGCACTTGGCTATCAATAAACCCTTCAATTGCCTGGTATCAGACATCAAACAACTCCCACCAGTTAACATAAGTGTGCACACTTAACTCTCACTCATTACTGGGTGTTCACACGTGGTCCTGGCACTGTGGCTCACAATCTCCTCTACAAAACTACTTCAACTACTCGAACTTGCTGTTATGGAATTGTGAGTGCTACCACACAAATTGGATAAGCTTGTGTTGTTTTTTAAAATGTGTTCTAAAGGTGGAGCATTGAAAATGAATGTTTGTTAACTAAGTTATAGGAGTATTGAAATGCACTTTTGTTTGAGATAAGCTGAGTGATTTTGAAATATTTGAAACATTTCCACTTTAGATTGATGTCAAATTTTAAGCATAGAGGCCAGCCACAAAGACTTTTTCGCAATAAAACGTTAAAAACTTAAAGTAAATTATTTTCATAGCAATTTGATCACCAGAGTATCGAACTTGCTATGAAAAGTTCTAAATGGTTTGTATGCTTCGTGGAACTTCTTAAGTACACAAGAGCAGTACTTTGTATTTCCTTGTTATGGCTAGTGGTCATGAGAGAGTGAAAGTGATGGTAAGTGGCAGTAAGAAGTTGTCATTCCTATGGGAAGTGTCATAATTATTGCCGACAGCCGGAAATCTCCTCCCTCCTTTAAAAAAAGGAATGTTTTGAAAACACAGACTAATAAATGAATAAAATATATTTCTGCATTATCAAAATAAGGCACCATTTGTACATTGTAATGTGATGTTTTTTGCTGAAATTGTTTGCTGAGAGATTTCCCATTGTTGCGTGGACAGGTAGTATGGTATTTTTGATGTTTTTATGTTCTGTGCTTACACAGTAATATGGGCTGTTACACAAATTGCGGTGATCCATGTCCATTTTGATTTTTGTGCAGGGTGTCCTATGACTCCATGTCAACACATAGTATTGTTGATTGTGACATTTCATGTGACTCACATTAAAACAGAGGCACAAGGAAGCCTACCCAGAGATTCTCTGCTCGTGTACGAAGCTCTTATACATGGTTTACTGACTACTGTGTCTGTGAAGATTATTATAGCAGTGACTAGCAGTTTGTAGACCATTGTAGTTATGATATTTTAACTGGTTTAAAAATTAAGAGGAAAGAAAAGACATCTAAATGTTTAAAGTGGAAACCTGTTTTATAATAACTGTAGTAGTATTAAGTGGCTCTCTGAAAGTATTAAAACAAAAGATTCAGCCATTCCCCCTACACATAGGATGCTAGTGGTCATGAGAGAGAGCTAGATGTTTGGGACAAAAAGTGTCGCCTTTAAGTCTGATATTATAAAAGATGTGTTATTAAGAATGGTTATACTGATACCGCACCTTTCTTGGGTTCCACTGGCTGCAGTTCCTGTGGCTTGCTGATCATCCTGAACACAGCATCCTCCACCCACTGCATCCTTGCCTGTAGCGCCTTGGTGGTGTCCTCCTGCGCCACCAGCATCTGCTCCTTATCGTGCAGCTTCCTCATCAGTGTCTTCACCTCCTGGTCCTTTTGCGCCAACTCCTTCATGTCCTTCTCCACACGCTTTTCAAGATGGTGCACCTTCTTGGAGAGGCTGTGGTACTTGGTGTTGGTGTACTCGTGGAGCTCGTCAGTGATGTTTAATGCTTTCTCTTCCAGTTTTTCCAACATTTTCTTCTCCATGTCAGCAGGTTGAGGGGAATCCATGGGTTGGGTAGACACGCGGCCGGTTTGGACGCTGGAGGCCACTTGGGCCTCGGCATAGGTGGTGTCACCAACATCATTCTGCCGCTGCTGTTTTAGTTTCTGGATATTCTGTTGGAATTTTTTCACTCTGTGCAGCTCCCTCTGTAACTTTTTTAGCAGCTCTTCCAGGGTGTGAATTGATTTACCGTATTGATAACTTGTGTGTAAGAGCTGTATCACAGAGCTCTGGACCTCCTCCACAATCAGGCACTGCCTGTCTTTATAATTATTTATAGTGTCTATGGCATTTTTGGGTTCCCCTGCAATCTCTGCATTTCCATCAGTTTCAAAGAAATTAAACTGTTTGAGCTTGAGAGGCTCTTCTTCTAGATTTATCTTCTGCAAGTCGAGATATGACTGTTGTGAGTCACTGCTGCCTTGGTCTTTTTGTGTGTGGGATAGAAACCTTGAATTTGCTTTGTTTTCGTGTTTTGTGTGACTCTTACTGTTGCCATGCCTGGCTGAAGAAAGGTGTAGGCATATGAAGAGTAGCAGACAGATGTTGAAACGCCTCCTGTTCGGAATTGCCATTGTTTTCTGGATGAAATGAATGTGTCACTTTTGAACTATAGTCCAATGTTTAACCTCCTCGGGTGAATCTGGCCTAGCTCATCATCTGTGGCCTCAGCAGCTGAAATATGTTAAATAAATATAATTAGAATATGATAGAAAAGATTAACTTATTTAAAGGACTTTTGATTTTGTGAATTTAAAGAAGAAAAATAACTGAAGTTTTTCATATAGATTTCTTTTTTATGAAAGTTGCATAAATTGAATATTCTTCATGTTTTTAAAGATGCTGTGATCACAGTGCTGCAAATTTGATGGCACAATACTGATAACTGCTATTCATCATGCCATCTTTGTAATAAAATGAAAAGATATAATATACCAGTTCATGTAAAAGTGAAGGGAAACACTTAGGAATTTGTATCTGCTGTCAACTTAATTCTAGGGAAACCTCATAAATTAAAAAAAAAAAACATAAATAAAACTATTAAAAAAGCAAACACTCAGCACAAAAAAAAAGAATCTACAGACATAAACGCTTAACAATTCCAGCATATTACATGTTGCTTTCTGTAAATAAATGATGCATTCCTTAACAATACTGATGTATGACTTAACAATACATTGCTCTAACAGCAACAGTACCTTGGCTTAAGCAAGCAACTAGTAAAGTTAAGAAACAGCCAAGCTGCCTTCATCAGCAAAAATCTCCCATTTGCGCTACCATTTGCACTAACGCCTATTCCAACACAGCACATGCTTGCCGGTTGAGACGAACTTACATGGTGTTGCCTTTGTGTAACTGCAGTACGTGTCTGTCACATAGCAGCGGAAGATAACACATATTTATAAGGAAACTGTGCACCACTGGATTGGATGCCAGTATAACTGAGGTAGGTATGAACCAATTGTCTTTAACCCAGTGACACCGCTTAATGCCGAGAGCAAGAGTAGGGGCAAGTAAGTATCAGATTGTGATTGGGCAATGAATACGATTTATGTTGAAATCATGTAAGATAATGCCATAATAACTGAAGGCGGGCAAAGTGTGTGTAGTCTGGTGTTTAACCCGTGATGTGCTTGATTTGTTTTTGGTTTAAACCTTTTTAATGCCTGGGTTTCCTCATGGTGGATGCCCTTTCTCCACAACTGAATGTCTGGTGTTAAGTTGGCTCTCTTACTCAGGTACAATGCTAATGGTCTGGGTGTCACCTTTCTGGTCCCCCCATTTAGGACAACACATTAAGTATTCTTATTTTGGGAAATGGATAACACTGAAGAACTGGAAAAAAAGTCATAGAATAAAAAAAGACAGCTATAAAATGAATCCAAACCATCCTTTCCTTGTGATGTTTTTCTCAATAGTGTTAAAAAACAGGTCATTTTGTTGATCATCAGAACAGTATTGAGAATGTATATGCTGACAAGAAAAGTATTTTTGTTCTGTCTTAAACATTTTCAAACATATATTGCATTTGGATTTGAAAATGGTCAGTTCTTTGCCCTTATTGACCCTACTGGTGTTCGTGAAATGAAACAAAAGAGGAAGCATGTTTTGTTTAAAGTCCGGTGATTTAAGTGCAACCAGAAGTGAAGGTCACAATAATTTCTGTATGATTTCACTGTCAGTGTCACAGGTTGTAGCCTGAACACACAATGCAAGTTGACATCCTGTGTATTTACAAGCTGGGACTGCTGCTGGGATCTGTCTCTGAGATAACCTCCATGTTGTTGGAGTTTTCTTTTGGTGACATACAATCCACAATACTTACGGTGACTCTGAGATACATAAACAGTTCATTATGTAAATCTGAAAGTGAAGTAAAGCTAAACGGATCTGCAAATGACTTTGGCTGGTTGATTAATTATTTAATGAATTGTGGTTTCTTTTTTTCCTCTCTCTCTCTCTCTCTCTCTCTCTCTCTTTTTTTTTTTCTTAAGAACTGATGGCCTCATGGTTAAATTACTTGTTATAGTGGAGAAAAGGATTTGAAGAACATTTTGATTTGAAACTTGCTGCCAAAGGTTGTTTAAAAAGGTAAATGTTTTTATTGCAATTCTTTGTAGGTATAAACAGGACATTGAAAAAGGCTCAATTCATGAAAAAATGTTTTATGCAGTTATTTGGTTTTTAGATTCAAGGTCACATATGAAGTTGTAGAGCGAGCTATAAACTATTAAAAGTAAAGCATTAATAAAAGGATCTTGAACTTGGAGCAAGTGGGCAAAAAGAAATGTTCAATTAAGCCCATTATTTTCTCACTCAGAGTCAACTCCAATTACACAAACTTGTGAAAGGCAAGAAGAGATTGTGCCATTACTTTGAAATAATCACCAAACATGAGCACTTATCCATATCTTTCCCAATGTCTGTCACAAGAGAAGTATTTCCTTTAAATCCTGGGCGTAACTTACGTGCATTCTTGCATGCATAAGTTATATATTCTGTCATGTTGTTGACTGTCCTGTATCACAGGCCTTTGTGTTATCATGCTTACAGATTCTTTTTACTAGCACAATTTTTAATGTATTCGTCATTTCTGACTAATCAGTGTTTTTTTTTCTGATTGGCTGGGTTACTGAATGAAGAATACACCCTATACATAATTATGTTTATTATTATTATTTTATTTATTTATTTTTTTTGCTCTGACAATTTTCATTGGGCAGCAAATTTAGCAGCTCAGGAGATCAATCAGCCATCAGAAAAGAAGTTAATAAAGCTGAATTAAACCGATTTCTTATAGTTTATAATGATTTCCAGTGAACAAAAAACTTACTGAATTTTAAGTGTCTGTTCTGTCTTATTCTGGTGTGGTCATATCTCTAAGCTGTATCATATGTCTCTTTATTTTTTATCTATTAAATCTTTGAAAAGAGAATCCCAATATCTAGACAAAAAAAGAAGAGAAAGGAAAATGTTAAAAAAGTATTAAGAGGAAGAGAAACAGATGAAAGAATAATGATATATAAGTGCTTTCAATTTTGTCAGTATAAAAAAATAGGTGAACCGTATGGAGTATTGCTGAATGTGATTGCTGTGAGCTAGAGGGAGGTCAGTGACGCCCTCGCATATCATAACCAGTAAGTCTGACCTAATTTATTTTGTGTTCCAGCAGTCAGTTACCTAATATTATTATATCACTGATAACTATGGTGCAAAAGATAAAATACAACTAGATAGAAGGAAGGGATTCAGACTTTTTATCTTGCTACCAATGTGCAGAGAGTGCAAAGTTTTTGAGAGTAACGTTTCCATTGAAGGGACAGTTGATAGAAAGTCAATGACTTCTCCTGAGCCTAGCTGATAGGGGACAAGAAGTTTATCTGGTTACTGGAGAGTATGTTGCTGTTAAACAGCTGGAGGATGTGGTGGACAGCAAGGTACAAATACTGGCTTTCAACACTCCTGCAGATGCCATGAAGTTTGAAAAACCAGAGGCACAAAAAAATAGATTGCTGGCCTATTTAAATTACCCCATTGAGAAAATGATCCCGCACAAACAGGCAAAATATGTAGAAAAGACAAGAGAAATGTTTTTTTACAGAGTTTACAGAAACCATGTTGAGGGATACAAAATTTCACAAAAGAATTGAAGATCTGGGAGTGGACTTGGTCATTTTGCACAACTGTGGTTCGTTCTTCCCAACAGCATATCTGGTTCCTTACAAACAGAGTCTGTGCTATATCACTACATCCTTTTTTCCTATACCAATATCTGGGCTACCGCTTCTTCCTTCAGTGATACCACATCCACTCAGCCCATTCTCAGATGAGATGACATTCCTACAACTACAACAAATCTCCTGATGTATAAGATTGCTTGCTAAAATTCCTGACAAATACTACACTGCATATTTACTAGGAAAAGCAATTACAAGTTCAAGTGAGTTAATGGCTCTGTCTGAATTATTTGCCGTGACAGGGAAACAATATCCTGGACTATCCCCCCCCCCCCTCCCCTTACAGCGCCTAATGTCATTCTTGCTGGGAGAGTGAATACCAGACCTGGAAAGCTTCTGACCAGAGAACTGCAGTCTTCCATGGATAGTCATGAAGAAGGCATGGTTGTTGTCACCTTTGGGTCATGGGCTACCTATTTTCCTACCCATATCACTGACAAGATGCTAGAAGCTTCTGTACAAGTTGAGTATGGATTCATCTGGAGATTTACCAAACCAGATCAGGTTCCTTTACATGAGGAACTTTTACCATGGATTCCACAGAATGATCTCTTGTCTCATCCCAGTACAAAGCTGTTCATAAGCCATATGGCGATGGAGGGTCACATGAAGCTCTTTACCGTGGCATTCCAATATACTTGGGTTCTCTCTTTTTGTAGATCAAGTTTTCAATGGTTTTATATTATTTACAATATTCAAAATGAATAAAATGTTTATTTTCACATTTATGTGTATACTTAGTGGCAGTAACTGTATTTCAAAATGACTCAGTTTTGTGAAAATTAATAAACTATAAAATCTACCTGTGATTTACCTGACAGATTAGTCTTTTCCTCCAGGGATTCAGTGTATGAGTTCAACTCTATTGACATGAAAAGTAGATTATGTATACATGTCTTATTGTATCAGTCAGTCACTTATATACTGTTGGTGGAATTTCATGAGCAAGGGAGTCGTGCCTGGTAAAACTAAACCTGGGGTTATCATTTTAATTAAAATATGCTGGTAAGGGCTCATTTTATTATGGCTCATACTGGACACTAAGAAGAAAAATTAATATCAAATTACTTTTAAGCAGTTTGAATTGACCACACCTTGAGGTTAAGATGTTTTGCTGATGTTGTTAAATGGAAGCTTCGTATTACAGCAAGCTGTGAGATGGGAAAAATACACCTCCAGACATGGACATAGCAAGACAAACACTGGAACACTAGAACAGCCGTGAGTTTTTTAATGAATCTATTCACTGTTCATCAGAGATTAATCATGTTTTGGTGGAAACCAATCAGCGCTTATTTTTTGTATTTACTGCCACAAGGATGATTTATGAGATTTTGTTACTACCAATGTTCTCAGGTTCTCGGGTTCTTTTGAATCTTTGACCAAAAGTCTGCAGATGGAAATAAAAATATGGAGAAGGATTTCATCTGTTTTTCA